TCAATTATCAAAATTTTTGAGCAATGGTTTTCCCACAGAGTCCCATCTGCGTGAATATTGGGCCCAAAACTCATGATCTTGTGTAAATGTGATGAAAAATAACGTTAAAATGGAAACTATACCAGATTACATTTTTTGATTATTTTGTAGACTACAAAATCAACTGGAAACTTAAAATAAAATGTGTGAAATCAGATGTATCTAGAAGTATCTGTTAAATCATTTAAATCATAATTCACTTCATATACTGCATGACACAGGAGCCAAGGAGACACAAGACAGTACACATGAAAGCAAAACACAACAATGACATGACACAGAAGACATGACACTCAGGGGAAACATGGCATGACACATAGGCAGGGAAACATGTGAACAGCAGAGGGAAACCAGACACAAGGACTGACACAAACACACAGAAACACAGCAAGTGACACACGATAAATACACAAGGTGAGTCTAAATGTACGAGAAAATAAAATAGAATAAACTACTAAATGAATCTTAAATAATAAACCAGAATACAAAATGACAACAAAACATCAGAAATTCAAAAAGCTGGGTTACAATGTCCCAGAACCATGACAACCTTGCAATATAAAGTGCCTTGAGTTGACTGTTTGTTGGCGCTGTATAAATAAAACTGATTTTAACTGAGTTGAACAGAATTGAATTGAAAATTGAATTAAAAATCAACTGTGAATAAACATTTGCATCATTTAACTTGTAATGCTGTGTGTGCAGGGTCCTTTGTCACCCGAAGAAGGTTCTTGCTTTGGTCATTTCAGGCTTTTGTTTCTACTTTCTGCAGATGATGTGGTTCTGTTGGCCTCATTAGGTTGTGGTCTCAGCTCATACTGGGGTGGTTGTCAGCATTGCAGCAAAATTTGAAGTGGAAGGAATGAGAATCAACTAGTCCAATTTAGAGGCAATGGTTTTCAGCTGACAAACCCTGAAGTGCCCAATCTAAGTAAGGGACGAGTTGCTGCCAAAAGTGGAGGAGTTTAATATCTTGGGGTCTTGTTCAAGAGTGTGGACTCACCCTGTCTATCACTAGTGATAGACAGATTGGAGTCATGTCTGCAGCTATGGTGACACTCCATAGGTGATAAAGAGAGTGGAGAAAGACAGCAAACCTGTTGATTTTGCAAGTCAATCTATGCTGTGACCCTTACCTATGTTCATGAAGATCTGGGTATTGACCAAAAGAATGAGACTGCAGATACAAATGGTGAAAACAAGTCTCCTCCAAAGGGGGGCTATGCTGTCCTTTAGAGATTGGGTGAGAATTCTAGTCATTCAAGAGGGACTCAGCCTAGAGCTACTTCTCACCCACATCGAAATGAGCCAGTTTGACTGGTTTAGGAATCTAAATAGGATGCCTCCTTGGTGAGGTGTTAAAGGCATGTTCAGAAAGAGGCCCCAGGGAAGACTCAGGATATACTACAGAGTTTATATACTTTGGGGGAAATACTTATTTGAATCACTACTGAATTTGTAAGTTTGCTCTCTTCCAAAAAAAGTGAGCAAACTTACAATCCAGAAAACACATTACTTAAAAGTTTGCACGTCACTGAGTGAAAAAAGTATTTGATCCCCATGGTTTAGGTCTTGGTGGAAAAAACCCTTGTTGGCAATCACAGTAGTACAATGTAGTCAGTCACCAGGTTTGCACACATGTCATGAGGGATTTTGCCTCACTCATCTAGGTTCAGAGGTTTCAGCTTTCTCCACATTTTCTCTGGAACTTATTCTGGAGAGTGGCTAAGACACTTCATGACCTTAACCCTCTAGACTCAACCAATGTGTCTACACACCATATCTTCTTAGCAGAAAAACACCCCCAATTTATAATGTTTCCACAGCTATGGTTGAATGTGGGGGGTGGTAGAATTTCATGGTGGCATTTGGTGGAAGCATCGCTGTCCTTCTTTGACACATTGCTGAGCTGCTCCATGTTTTCTCTGTGGCAGGTACCCAAAACTGAGAATGTACGTTTAATATACGTTTAAGCTAGCTAGCCCTGAGATTGTGTATCCTGAGTTTTTTTTCTGGTACACGAGCTACTCTCTCCTGTGACTGGGTGTCCGGCCCCTCCACACTGACGTTGGGTCGTTGGCTGAGAGCCGTTCTTCCAGCTTCTGGGAGTAGATCCTTTTAGCTGCTTTTATCTCCTTGGTCAGTGTGTTCCTAGCTTGCTTGTACAGGGCCCTGTCACCACTTCTGTAGGCATCCTCCTTGGCCTTACAAAGATGTTGGAGTTTAGGAGTGAACCATGGTTTATTGTTGTTGTATGTGCAAAAGGTCTTTGTTGGCACACACACGTCTTCACAGAAACTGATGTATGATGTCACAGTGTCCGTGAGCTCATCTAGGTTCTCATATGCAGCTTCAAAAACAGTCCAATCAGTGGAGTCAAAACAGTCCTGCAGTTCCTGCTTTGCTGCGTTAGTCCACTTCTTCACAGTTTTGACTACAGGCTTCGCACGTTTGAGTTTTTGCCTATAAACTGGAATAAGATGGACCATGCAGTGATCAGAATGTCCCAAAGCTGCCCGGGGCACAGAGCGATAGGCATCTTTTAGAGTGGTGTAGCAGTGATCCAGTATGATGTTGTCCTTGGTGGGGCAGTCTATATGCTGTCTGTATTTAGGGAGTTCGTAGTTTAGGTTTGCTCTGTTAAAATCCCCAAGAATAATTGTAAAGGAATCTGGGAATTTCCTCTCCAGGGTAGTAATCTGGTCAGCCATCTCGCAGAGTGTGTTGTTCGCGTTGGCCTTTGGAGGGATGTAAACTCCGACTAGCATGAAGGAGGAAAACTCTCGCGGTGAATAAAAAGGTTTACAGTTGATGAAAAAACTTTCCAAGTGTGGGCTGCAGTGTTTCTGTAACACTGTGACATCAGTACACCAACCTTCATTAATGTAGAAGCAGACTCCACCACCCTTTGTTTTCCCTGAGAGCTCTGTTTCGCGGTCCGCCCGGTGAAGTTGGAAGCCCGGCAGATTTAAGACAGCGTCTGGGACTCGCTCTCTGAGCCAGGTTTCAGTGAAGCAGAGGGCAGCAGAGCGTGCAAAGTCCTTGTTAGTCCGGTTTAAGAGCAGTAATTCGTCGACTTTGTTTGGAAGAGAGCGGAGATTCGCGAGGTGAATGGAGGGGAGTGCCGTGCAGAATCCTCGCCGACGTAGTGCGACTCCCCCGTCTACGTCTTCTCCAGGAGCCACAGAGAGCTGCTGTGATAAGAGAAGAACTATAGTGAGACGACTGCCTGATGTTTAGCAGTTGATCTCTGGAGAAACTGATGTGGTCTGAGTGACCAAAAACGCAGAAAATAAACAGAAACAAGAAAAGTGCGAGAGAGCGCAGTACCGAGGCTGCCATCCGCGGCGCCATCTTGACAGCAATCTTAACAGAATGTGGGGGGTGGTAGAGTTTTGTTTGGTTGAAGCATCGCTGTCCTTTTTTGACACATTGCTGAGCTGCTCCATGTTTTCTCTGTGGCAGGTACCCAAAACTGAGAATGTACGTTTAATATACGTTTAAGCTAGCTAGCCCTG